GGATGCATGGAAGCACAATGGAGATTTCTGCTTGTGTGATAACCTGATCATAGGTAAACAGAGTACCAGGAAAGACTGTATTGAAGAAAATATAAAAACAACCTTTTATTTCTAATTGAGGGGGTGTCAGATTGTGGAAAAGCTAAGCAGAATATTTAGATACGTAGTCAAATGTTTGGATTAAATGAAGTTAAATTGCTCCCCCCTCATCTTATGTGCTGAGCTAGAGCTTTTACTTTGAAGCATTAGTAGCATTTTTTCTGCTAGTAGAACAAATATTCCTAAAAGACTGAATCTAATCTGTATTACTGGATTGAATTTTAAATCTTTATGAAATATACATATGAATGTATTACATGGAAGGACTATTTTAGATTGCAGGTTCAATACATTAGGCTTTATAAACAGCTAAAACAAAAAAAACCCAAATTCCTTTCTTGTAAATAATGGTTGAAAAATTATTTTTGTGTCTACCTGTGTGATGTGATAGCTGTCACTCATAGAAAGGAAGGAAAACAAGTAACATTTGTTAATTCTCATGTAGAATGTGAAAGGCAGCTTTCAGAACGTTCAGCATGTTATGAAACTTGCATGGTAGTCTTAACCTCCGAAGGTACTTATTTTCTCTGAATACATATTAGTAATGGTGACTTGAGTTGACCAGTTCTGCAAAGAGTTGGCCTACAAAGAAGTACGGGGTTTTTAGAATGCTCATGTCATTTACTCTGTTTTTCATCAACTTTTAATTAACAGGTTTTAAAAAACAATACTATTGTGTTCATTCATATCATGTTTTTATATCTTTGAAGTTTATAGTAATGGTGGCATGATGTACTAAAATTGTGCCGTGAAGGGGGTGGATTGAGATTTTACCTTGAAAAAAACACGTGTAGACTTATTTTTCTTCTATTTAATAAAATTTAGTCTGTGATAATTTTTCTATTTGCAAATTCTTAGAATGAATAAAGAATAATACGTGCATTTAAAAAAATATTTTTGTATTGATTTTTAGAGGGAGAGGGAGAGATAGAAATATCGATGAGAGAGAAACATCAATATCAATCAGCTGCCTCTTGCACGCCCCCTATTGGGGGTTGAGCCTGCAACCCAGGCATGTGCCTAGACTGGGAATCAAACCAGTGACCTCTTGGCGCATGGGTTGATGCTCAATCACTGAGCTACACTGGCTGGGCGATTCATGTATCTATACCAGTGATGGCAAACCTATGACACGCATGTCAGAGGTGACACGCGAACTCATTTTTTTGGTTGATTTTTCTTTGTTAAATGGCATTTAAATATATAAAATAAATATCAAAAATATAAATCTTTGTTTTACTATGGTTGCAAATATCAAAAAATTTCTATATGTGACACAGCATCAGAGTTAAGTTAGTGTTTTTCAAAATGCTGCCACACAGAGCTCAAAAGGTTCGCCATCACTGATCTATACTAATAAAAGGGTAATATGCTAATTAGACCAGACATCTGCCAGACAGCCTTCCGGACGTCCTTCTGGACAAAGCCACGGTGGCTGGGGCTGAAGCAGAGGTGGTTAGGGGGTGATCAGGCAGGCAGGCAGGTAAGCGGTTAGAAGCCATCGGTCCCGGATTGCAAAAGGGTGCAGGCCATGCTGAGGGACCCCCCGCCTCCACCTCCCCTGTGCGCAAATTTCATGCACCAGGCCTCTAGTTTTGATATAAATGGGATCATACTATATGTGCTATGTGCTCTTTTACATCAGTTTTTAAATAAATCTTGTCATAACTTGATAATGACTTTCTATGGTGTCCTTTATTAATGATTGATTTGAATAGCACAATTATAGAGAAGATTATTTTACAAAAATAGTCAAAGACTTATTGTTTCCTAAGGGCCATTTTTGATCCTTAGATCATCGAATCATCCTTATTGATGTCTATCAAATTGTTGATTTTTTCACAACTATTTTGTCCGCCAGATCTCTATGTGCATATATAACTCAAGCAATTCTCTTACATCACTCTAATTCACAATTAAATCTTGCAGATTTTTCTGAGATTTCAGTGGGAGTATTTTTGCCATCTAAATCTATGTTGTTCCTGAGTTTAGATAGCGGAGGTTTGAATAGTGAGTAATGTGATGTGGTCTGATCACTTGGGCCTCTAACTTTTGGCTGAAAAATATTAAGATTTTGGATAGTTGGGGATTTTTCTAAAATTATGTTTATCTCTTTAATTTCTGAACTCTAATTGGTAGAATTTTGATAGCAAAGGATATTTATATTATATAACCTGTATATTGATGAGATTGGATGCTCATTTGATGGACAGGCAGGGTTATACTGATGGTAAATTAGGAGAGATATTTGAGTGAGGGCCAATTTTTAAATGATGTTTTTATTAGTGTATCTTCCCATACTATGAACCTTCCCCATTCTGAAAAACCTTGTAACTGCATATGTATAGATAATAAATACTAGGGTTTGAGGGGACCCTAAATAAGAACATTTAGTAGGTAAAAAGGAGTGGCTTCTGGATGGCTTTCATCAGAAGAGTTGGCTATAAATGAGTGCTCATTGTGCATAGAGATCTTTAGACTTTCAGCCCAAGATTTGAATGATGCACTTTACTTTTCACACTGTGGTCCTCTCGGTGCATTCTACCTACACACTCAACTCCTGAGAGTCCTTCTCCAACCAAAAAGACTTCCCAGTTCTCTGCAATCCATGGAAATTTTATCGAGTGAAATAAAACCTGGTGTGGTTATTCATCATTTTAGTAATTGTTATTACTTGGGAGAAATAGAAACTGAGCCCAAACCTTTTTCTTTTCATAAATTAGAAGCAGAGATTTAGTGATTAGATGATTTCTATGGTTTCCAGTTATTTATTTGGCCTAGTATACTTACGCAGAAATATCAGAATTCAATAATTGTAAATGGACAAATATACGATGTTTCCTTTTTTGTTTTGATTTGATTCATATCTGACTGAGCAATGCTTCTTCTCTTCTGTCCTTCTAAATGTTGGTTGTTACTTTTAAGGGAGTCTGATTCTTTAAAACTCACCATCATCCTCTGGTTTTATTCTCTAGGCCCTGAACCAGTTGTTTGAGAAAATCATGGCTTTAGACATTGACGAGCGCCACCTCCTGCGTCTTGGTCATGGAGAAGAAGAGCTGGAGACAGAGAAAGATTTCAGCAGGTGAGCAAATGGGGTTGAGTTTTGAAATGGTATACAAAGAATCTTTAACATCAAAAAAGCTAAAAGAGTGTTAAATTATTATTTTGCATCTTTTTGAGTTCTTGCTTTACAGAGCTTACCAAACATTTATTAGCTTCTAAAAAGTCAGAGGAGGAAGGGGGGGGGAATAAATCAGAAAGCAAAGAACAACACACATTAAGTTATTTGGGGTTTTAATTATTAATTTTGGATCAGCCAATGATATTTCTCTGAATTCTTCCCATGAGTATTTCCTCATATTAAACCTAACTTACTAGAGGGCTAGAGTCTAAAATCGAATACCCCCGAACTCAGCGAACATACAGATACTGATGGAATGCTAAATATTATACTTATAATTGTATTGCAGTGGAATTTATAGTTTTTAAATAATGTTATAACAGAGCAGAAGTAGGATTTTAAAAAATGATTTTAGGGACTACTGAGTTTCTATCTAGACAGAAAAATACTTTTGCTTTCTGATACACAAACCAAGCCCCAGGTCTCTTTAAGTGTGTGCTTGATCAATTGGGCATATTTCATTTCTATTCCTTTGTTGTAACTAAAAAGAAAAATAGTGAATATTGTTTCATAATAAAAGTGATATCATTTTTCGTAAAGAAAAATGTTAAATCTAATGAGACAGTACAGATGAAGTGATCATAATTTTACTAATCCAAAACAAGTGTTTGATAGTCTTTTTTTCAATGATCAGCTATAATCTTACTATTAATTATAATTTTACAATTGCCTTTTTAAATTAATAGTTTTATTTTTTTAATATATATTTCTTTATTGATTTCAGAGAGGAAGGGAGGAGAGAGAGATAGAAACATCAATGATGAGAGAGAATCATTGACCATTGCCTCCTGCACACCCCCTACTGGGGATCGAGCCCACAACTGAGGCATGTGCCCTTGGTCGGAATCGAACCTGGAACCCTTCAGTCTACAGGCTGATGCTCTATCCACTGAGCCAAGCCGGCTAGGGCTAAATTAATAGTTTTAAATAATAGTTTTAGATTTACAGAGTAATTAAACAAATATTACATAGGATTCTATTATATTTTGCTTTTTAAATTTAACATTATAGTACAAGATTTGGCATTTTATTACAAACTTTTTATAAGCATTCTCATTTTTTTTCTCATTACTAACGTGTGCATTGTAGGAAACATTTTAAACTATAGATAAGCACATAGAAAAAAAATTACCTGCTGTGATGTTTATATCCTTATAAGTTGGAAATTTCTTTTTTTTTTTTAAATATATTTTATTGATTTTTTTAGAGAGGAAGGGAGAGAGATAGTCAGAAACATGGATGAGAGAGAAACATCGATCAGCTGCCTCCTGCACGCCCCCTACTGGGGATGTGTCCGCAACCCAGGTACATGCCCTTGACCGGAATCGAACCCGGGACCTTTCAGTCCGCAGGCCGACGCTCTATCCACTGAGCCAAACCGGTTTCGGCGGAAAATTCTTAAAAATATAGACCGTGTCTTATCCCTTTTGTATTCTTGATCATCGCTTGCTGCCTCAGAGGTAAACTGAACTCTGGAGCAGCCAAGAACATGATTTCTTCCTTTGTCAAATCTTTAAACATGAGAACTTCAGTGTTTAAAAGCTGTTTTGATCTTTATTAGTAAAAGGTCATAGGGGACATTTTGTTATAGTGGAAAGAGTATGGATATAGCCCTTGGAATGCAATTCTGGTGCCGCTACTTTTTTTTCTTAACTATATATCTCTCTTCAAATTTTATATATACTGTCCAAATTTTAGGCTTCTTACTCATTCAGCAAATACTTGTGAACCTACTAGGTTCAGGTGCCAAACCACATGCTGGGATGACAGAAAGAAAAATGCATTACATTTCAAAGCCTTTAGAACAAAGCTATATTTGTGATGGTATAAAACAGTGCTATTCAAAGGAGTCAGTGGGTAAACTGTATGTTCCTGGTCTGATGAGATGAACTGGCACCAGAATGCACTGTACTTTTTGCTTCTTTGTGAAGAACTTGTTATGGGAAAAAAGAAATTGATAGCTGAACTTAAATGGTGTATTCAGTGATGTCTAATTTTTCTTCCTCACAGACTACTAACACATTTGTAGGTATACTCTGATCCATAGGGTGCACTTTAAGTAACTTTGGTGTAAAATGATCTAAGAACTACTACTTATAGTAAAATATAAACTATGTTTTCTGTTTTGTTGTGTTATTTAATTTGGCCATTTATAGCTTCTGATATGATTTTTCTTGAATATTTTGCTGACAGTTTCCTTTCAAATCTCTTCATTACATAATTTTGCCTTTTTGCTTAATTGTAATTTCTAGGTATGGAAGAGTTAATTATGTCCTGGCTCGAAGAATAGAACTTTTAGAAGAAGTCAAACGGTTGCAAAAAAGCCTAGGGGTTCCAGGGGATGCTTCATATACTTGTGAAACTGCAGGCTATTTCTTCTTATATCAGGTATGAAGTTAAGAGTTTTTAAATCATACTTCACTTGTATGGTCTTCAGTTGGAAACTGAAATGGGTTTTTGAGATCTTTTTTGAAAGCTTTTTTTTTTTTTCAGGGAGTATTTTGAAATACATGCTATTGCCATAGCGATATTGTGAATGTTAAATGTTTGTTTTTTCTATAATCTTCAATTTTCTTTGCAAACTTTGTTTGATGATGCTTTCAATGAAAGGCCAATGTTGGAACTTTAAAATTTTTTCTTTCTTCCTTTTTGCTATTGAAAAAGTTTCTAGTTATTCTTTTTTTTTCTCATTAGTATAAAATAACTAAATATCCCAGCTACCTAATGGTAACAAAGTGCAGTTTTGTAACTTACTTTTACTATGACTATTACTCAAGTAATAAAGAAAAACAATCTCCTTTTAAAATTTCAGAAATAAGTTATGTTTTATAATTAATTTTATTAAATACACAGGAGTTTAAGTTAAAAATTATTTTGACTTCAATTTAGATGTGTGCTCTTTTGCTTTTGTGAGGTTAGTTCTTTGGGTATAAAGCCAATGAGAAACAAAGGCAAATAAAATGAATACAAATGAACTTCAGTAGCCAGTTGGTTTCCTAATAATTTTAAATGGAATAAAGCTTAATCAAATAATGAAGACTTTGTGTAACTTTGTTCTCTTTATAATAATGCTATTTGTATATTTTAGGTATAAATTGTAACAATGAAATTTTAAGATGTATATGAAAGAATGGATTTGTGCTCATTATAAGTAGATACAGAAACCACGTGAGCCCATTTAAAATGAACATATTTCATGTTTTCTTATGAAACAGGAGAGATATGCATCCTACTGCAAAGTAGTCTGCATTAGACTCAGACTGTTTAGAAGTTTGAAGAATGGAGTACAGATCATGCTTAAATGCATATTTGGTACAAAATAAAAATCACTAGGCTATCAGTCAGAACTACGTGTTTTTTAATTTAATTTTTTAAAAATTTTCAACATGTAAGAATCACATGGGGAAAGTTGTTTGAGAGGACATTCTCAAGCTCTGTCCCCAGAGAGTCTCTTTCAATATAGGGTGGCATCTAGGGATGTACATTGTTATTTAGCTTCTCAGATATTCTGCCTAAGGACCACACTTTGAGAAAAACTGGGAGTGTAATGGGAAAAGACCTGGGAGAAGCACAGAGATTGAGATGAATTAAGTAGGAACTTTGAGGTAGAGGCATAGTTAACATTATGCCTGGGTACAATTGACCTCTTATCATAAAAGTCATAGAATGAGCTTTCAAATGTGTACTCAGCTTAACCAGAGTTCTTTATAAATGTACTAAAGAGAATTGGAAAAATTATGAAGGTCTGGGAGAAGAGTTAAATGCCAAATTGATTTAAAAACTGCTAAAGCTGAACTTAATGTGTGGAGAGAAACTGAGATTAAAAAACGTAAGGAATTTCATTAAGCCTTTTGCATAAATGGAGAATATGAAATGTTTGAGGTAAAGTCTCATGAGATGACCCTGAAGTTTTTCCCCCTTTGTACATTTTTTATTAAAGAACCTTTTATTCTATAATCTTAAAGATAAAGTTACTTTGGTAAAAGAATGGCAGTCTAGTTCATCAGTGACTTTAGTAAGAAATAGTTATTTTGAGTTAAAGATTGCCTTTCTTACCCTTTACCTAGCAGACCTTATTTTTACAAAATTTCTTTTATTATTTAAAACATAATTAGCTGGCAAATTTAACCTCAAGTCCTTTTTTTAATAGGTAATGTCTCGCTGGGAAGAGTATATCAGCAAAGTGAAAAATAAAGGTAACACATCACCAGATGTCACGGAAGTCTCCACTTTCTTCCCTTTTCATGAGTACTTTGCAAATGCTCCTCAACCCATTTTTAAAGGTCGGTCTTATGAAGAAGACATGGAAATTGCTGAAGGATGTTTCAGGCATATTAAGAAAATCTTTACTCAGCTTGAGGTAAGGATTCTCTTTAAAGGTTTTAATTTAGGTGTTGGTTTGGTTTTGTTTTTTATGTGAAGTAAAAAGTTTTTCTAACTTCCCTTTAAAGGTTTTAAGTTTAGATGTTGGTTTGGTTTTGTTTTTTATGTGAAGTAAATGAAATATTCAAATCTGACAAACCAGATTATTACTTTTAAGTGAGCTTATTGCACATATTTATAGTTCTAGTTCCAGAAATAAGTAAAATTTAGTATGAATTGAATGCCCATTATCCTGGCTTTTCTGGTGTCATAGTCTTAATATTTGAGAAAGGGATGCTTGCATCAGGAGATTGAACAATGGTTCTTTGAGTTGGAGTCTGAGACTGCCACGTGGGCATTCTTAGTTCTTCATGCCTCTTCTTTAGTAGGCAAGTGAGGTTGCTGGTTAGCCAGGATGGTTGATCCTGACTAGTAAAGTGAAATAAGAATCACCACTATACAAAGAATATGTTTGAAGAAGAATGTGTTTGGAACCCAGGGACCCGCTTCATTTTTCTGCTCTTCTGTCACCTGTGTACTCAGTCCACTGCATTAAATTCACCTTTGTTATGAATACTTGAAATAGTTTCCATTTTCCTGGAGGGACTTTGAGTAATATAAATATAGTGATAATTTATCTTTTATTCAGTATTCTTGGGGTTTTTTGTTTTAATCTCCACCCTAGGGTATGCTTAGAGAGAGGAAGGGGAAGAGAGAGAAAGAAAAGCAAAATTAATGTGAGAAAAACCTCTATTGGTTGCCTCCTGTGAGCGCCCAACCAGGGATCGAACCCGCACCCCTTTGGTGTATATGACAATGCTTCAACCAACTGAGCCACCCAGCGAGGACTAGTATTCTTGTTGATAATGCAAATGTTTTACTTTTTACAAAAACAGTCCAAATTATAGCTTGACTATCAGTTATAATTTGAATTCAATTAGTACCTAATTAATAATGAAGAGAATTATGATTCTTTAGGCCTGGTTTATGATATCTTTAAGTTCTTAGGAATTAAGTCTGATTAACTGGATTGTATGGATGTTTGCATAAGCTGTGTTCATTTTCCTAAAATAGTTTCTCACTGTCCCTCCTTCTCCCACTTCTGTAGGAATTCAGGGCCTCTGAACTGCTTCGAAGTGGACTGGACAGATCTAAATACCTTTTGGTGAAAGAAGCCAAAATCATTGCCATGACCTGTACTCATGCTGCCTTAAAACGACATGATTTAGTCAAGTTAGGTTTCAAGGTAAAGACTTATATTTTAGTTTGTTAATTCATCATTTGTTTAGCTGTTAGTTTGTTTTGTTTTTAACGTAGGCCATTTCCCTTGGAGATTGGCCTACCTCTTTTAGAAGTTTGCATTTATAATAACTTAAAAATGTCTCTAAAAAGTGATAACTTCCTATGTTTATATGATTAGTCAACTCTAAATGTAATTTTTCTAAATTAGTAATATATCCATTAAATAATATTATAACCATATGATTGTCTAACCAAATTGTAATACCTACTAAGGTAGATTAATATATTTTCACTATGTGAAAAATATCTGAACAGAACTGAAAGCTATAAAGATAACATTTGGTGATGTTTTTCACCCATTAAATAAACATCTGTATGCTCACATTGTTCATGCTTTAAGAATACATTCAGTCCCAGTTATTTGTTCATTCAGTAAAGAAAAAGCCTTCCATGTGAGGACATGGAATATTTAATCTGTGAGGATGAGATTAAATTACTTAATCACATGATAAAGACCAAAGAGCTAAAGCGCATGGTATATAGCCTGTGGCTTAGTTGAAATGGAATGTAATAATTGAACAAACAAATTTGAATTTGCAGACTGACTTTGCTAGTGATACTGATGTAGACTCTGTTTCAATGCACATCATTTAACTTCCCTGAAACTGATTTATCTGTGCTTTTTTACAATAGGGTTCCTTACTAGTTTGAATTCAGAATTTGCAAAGCATTTGTTGTTGATGAAAGTAACTGACAAATTTTTTAGTGTTATTCGTTCACTGAAAGATAGGTGTTAAGTAAATTGAAGGTGATAGAATTGTTGTTATCTCGGATAAAAGGTTTCTCAGCTGCAAGTAGGACAAATAATGTATTAAAAGGTAGTGTGAAGTTACCCTTTTGAAAATTATTAGTGAGATTTTTTTCACCTAAATATTTTATTCTTGGGGCTGACATAAAATATACTTTGAGTTTTATATTAAATCATATCAGTTCAATAACGGGGAGATGATGCAGTTGTAATTAGGATGTTATGCTTGCATGCCGCTTTCCATATTCTAAAACACACTACTTGTAGCTTATCACATTTTCATTTTTCATTTCTATACTTACATTGTGCTACACACCTAAAGATTGTTAGCATGAGTGCTGATAGTATCTCTTGGATTTTTTTATGTTTTTAATTTTAACATTTTATTTTTATCCAATTTATACATGTCTATCTGGTTTAAGAGCTAAAAAACCTTGTAGATCTGCTTAAAATTTTAATAAGGCAATCCCTTATTTCTTGATTATCCCCAATTATCCAGTCTTTCAACTCTTTTAGCTTTTCCTTTTTTGTTTTAATCTACATCAATAAAGAATGTTTAATTTCCATGTTAGGCCTTATCTTTTGACTCTGTGCTGTCCCCAAGGAAACATGTGTGCACATTCCCAGTATAGTTATGTCATAATTCTGCTTTGTGATTAAAAATCTCCTTTTTAAAAAGCAGAATCTATAGGTAAGTTTTTGTAAGTTAAATTGCAGTACATTTTTAGATTTTTTCAGAAAGCAAGCTCCTTAAGCTTTCTTTGAGCCACTCCCATTCTTTTTTGCATAGTGTGTCTAGGATCGTGAAAGTCCATGCAGGGACTTCTGTGAAAATGTGGCTTTTTGAACATCTTCCTTCTTCTAAGCTCCCACCCAGATTACCAATAGGGAAGTTCAGTATCAGATAGATGTAGAAAAGATCTCCAGCCACATGCCTAAACCTTTTTCAACAAGAAACAGTGCAGAATTGAACTTTAACTTCTATCCTGTCCAATGGAGTTCCAGCTCAGCTACCAATCTTGGACAAATATAGATGCAAACATATTTTGATAAGCACTAGTGGGGTCCCTCAGCCTGGCTTGCAGAGATCAGTGGACCTCCGCACCACCACAGCCCAGCCTTACCCGCCAGCTTGTCGGGCTTCAGCCAGCTTTTCACAATGATCCTGCACAACACGAAGTAGTGCACAAAGTGGCAGGTGGCTGGAGAGAAGCCCAGCCCTGGCTGGGCCGCACACCGCTCCTGCTCATCCCGGCCCCACTGTACCTGCTGCCTCCATTCGCCACTCAGGTGCACAGGAGGAGTGTCTGCGGGAGAGGCTCCAGCAGCCATAGCTGCTCTCGCCAACTGTGAGCCTGGCGGTGCCTGGTGCCCGTCTGTCAGCTGAGCGGCACTCCCTCTGTGGAAGTGCACTAACCACCAGGGGCAGCTCCTGCGTTGAACGTCTGCCCCCTGGTGGTCAGTGCACCTCATAGCTACTGGCCAGTTGTCCAGTCATCTAGACGCTTAGGCTTTTATATATATAAACTAGTGGCCCGGTGCATGAAATTCGTGCACAAGGGGCGGTGTCCATCAACCCAGCCTACACCCTCTCCAATTTGGGACCCCTCAGGGGATGTCTGACTGCTGGTATAGGCCCCATCCAGGATGGGGCCTATAACGGGAGTCGGATAGCCCTCTCACAATCTGGGACCACTGGCTCCTAACTGCTCACCTGCCTTCATGCCTGATGACCCCTACCTGGCCACCCTGCCAGCCTGATTGCCCCCCTGCCAGCCTGGTTTCCCCACACAGCCTGCTGTGCAGCCATTTGGTTGTCCCTCACTAACCCTCCTGCTAGCCTGGTCGCCACACACAGCCTACTGTTTGGTCGTTACTGTGATGGCGTCCTGGGCAATTTGCATATTCCTCTATTATTAGAAAGATAACCATTCTGACAGGGTGAGATGATATCTCACTGTGGTTTTAATTTGCATTTCTCTGATACTTAGTGACATTGAGCAGCTTTTCAGATGTCTATTGGCCATTTGGATGTTCTCTTTGGAGCAGGGTCTATTTAGATATTTTGCCCATTTTTTAAATGGATTTTTTTTTAGTGTTGAGTAACAAATTTTGGCTATTAACCCCTTATCAGATGTATCATTAGCCAATATGTTCTCCCATAAAACCCCCCACCCCCGAGACCCAGGCTCCCAGCCACTCCTTCAGCGGTGGCCAGGGTGGGCGGGAAGCTTGGCTTCCTTTGTTGCTTGTGGCAACCCAAGCCTCCAACTCCATGGCCGCCACCATCTTTGTTGGGTTAATTTGCATACTCACCCTGATTGGCTGGTGGGTGTAGCGGAGGGACGGTCTATTTGCATGTTTCCCTTTTATTAGTGTAGATTAGTTTAAAAAGGGAGTGTTAAGCATTAAGAATAAATATTATCCTCCTACCTTCTGTTTCCCTAGAAAACAAAATAAGAGAATACCTTCAAACAGAAAACAAAGGAACTCTAATATGTAGTTAGTGAGATTCTCAAAGACTGTGTTTTACCAATAAAACAAGGTATAAGATACACTATGTAGCAATCAGAATTAGGAGGGAAGTATAAAACGTTGAGAATTGATATCGAATTAGGCAGATAAAAGAAGTAACCATCAAAGAAAGAATTAAATATTTTTATGTTGGAGAGAGACTTTTTTTTATTACTTTACATACTAGAGGCCCGGTGCATGAAAATCGTGCACTTGGGGCAGGAGGTGCGGGGTCCCTCAACCCAGCCTGTGTCCTCTCGCAGTCCGGGAGCCCTCCAGAAATGTCCAAGTGACGGCAGTTGGACATCAGAGGCAGGAGAGGCTCCTGCCATCACCGCTGCATTCACCAGCCATGAGTTTGGCTTCTGGCTGAGCAGTGGCACACCCCCTGTGGGAGCACACTGACCACCAGGGGGCAGCTCCTGTGTTGAGCATCTGCCCTGTGGTGGTCAGTGCGCATCATGGTGACCTGTCGTTCCGCTATTCAGTAAATTTGCATATTAGCTTTTTATTATATACTAGAGGCCCGGTGCACAAAAATTTGTGCACTTTGATGGGGGGTTCCCTCAGCCTGACCTGGCACACCACCTGTGGGAGCACACTGACCACCAGGGGGCAGCTCCTGTGTTGAGCATCTGCCCTGTGGTGGTCAGTGCGCATCATGGTGACCTGTCATTCCGCTATTCAGTAAATTTGCATATTAGCTTTTTATTATATACTAGAGGCCCGGTGCACAAAAATTTGTGCACTTTGATGGGGGGTTCCCTCAGCCTGACCTGCACCCATTTGCAGTCCAGGACCCCTTGGGGGATGTCCACCTGTCAACTTAGGCCCACTCCCCAGGCGATCAGGCCTAAACTTGCAGTCAGACATCCTTCTGGCAGCCAGGGAGCCCTCGGAGGATGTCCGACTAAAGGCTTAGGCCCCCAAGGGAGCTGTGATGAGGAAGCTGAGGTGACAGAGGAGCCACGCTGTCCTGCCCCACTGCCCTGGGTCGGGTCGCACACGGGAAACCTGGGTTGGCTGGCGGATCGCTGCTGCCCCGCCCGGCCGCCCCGGGTAGGGTTGCACACGGGACACCCACCACCCCGGGTCACAGATAGCAGGCCCGGATGGCAGCAGGGCAGGTGGGATGGCGCTCTCCTGCCCTGCCTGCAGTATGTAAATTAGCCCCATCTTTGTTGGAGGTTAATTTGCATATCGTGCTGATTAGCCAATGGGAGGTGTAGCGAAGGAATGGTCAATTACCATGTTTGCCTATTATTAGATAGGATGAT